TGCTGGAGTTGGAGCTGCTACTGGTGCTGGTGCTGCCTCTGGAGGTGTTGGTGCTGTCCCTGCTGTCTCTTGCGGTGCTGCGCGGCCTCGGTCGTACTTCGTTCCGCTCCTTCAGCAGGTTCTTGGTCTCCCGCCTTCCACTGGTCCTTCTCCTCCCGTAGAGTGTCCGCAGCCTGTCCCGTCACAGTCACAGTTACAGCCCGCCTCTCCCCTGCCTTCTCCTTCTCCCTACGCTGGTCCTACTGGAGGTCTTGCGGAGCGTCGTGAGCCTGCGTCCCGCCCTGCGTCGCCAGTCCGAGCTGCTCGCCCTAGTGGTCGCGGTTCGCGTCAGCGTCCTCCTTCTGTCCCTGGCATACACCAGATGTCTCTGCGTCCGTCCACTGCTCCTCTGCGTGCCCCTTTGCCTTCTCCTCCTCAGTCTTCTCTTCCTACACTTGTCGACCCGGAGTCGGACTCTCGCCGTGCTGCCAGTCCTACTGTCACGCGTCTTCTTGCTTCTCTTGTCACTGACCCTTCCTTTGAGACCGCTGCTGCGTCTGCCCTAGTTGCTGAGCTGGTGGACTTTGCTGCTACGTGTCGTCTGGACTACGCTGCCAGTCTTGTTGCTGAGTCTGCGTCTGCTGCGTCTGCGTCTGCCTGTCCTCCGTCCGTCGGGGGTGACTGTGCTCTTGGCACGGACGTCCTTGAGGATAGGCAGGAGGAGTTCCAGTGCTTTGCCGCCGCTTTGCCCCATCTCGTGTCCATGCTTGTTGCCCCTGAGGGAGACCCGGATGCTCTAGACATCCCGACCCCACGCTCTTACGCAGAGGCGATGGCCGGTCCCTACTCCTCTCAGTGGCAGTCAGCCATGGACGCAGAGATGGCTTCCTGGAAGTCCACAGGCACCTACGTTGACGATGTTCCCCCTCCTGGGGCGAACATTGTCAGTGGCATGTGGATCTTCAGGGTGAAGCGGCCGCCGGGTTCTCCGCCTGTCTTCAAGGCGCGCTACGTGGCTCGTGGCTTCAGTCAGCGACAGGGAGTTGACTTCTTTCAGACCTTCTCCCCGACCCCGAAGATGACCACTCTTCGGGTTCTACTGCACGTCGCTGCTCAGCGTGACTACGAGCTACACTCTCTTGACTTCAGCACTGCTTTCCTGCAGGGCCGCCTGAACGAGGAGATCTGGCTGCGCCGCCCTCCTGGCTTGACTGGGTCGTTCCCTCCTGGTACCCAGTGGAGCCTCCGGCGGCCAGTCTACGGTCTCCGCCAGGCGCCGCGTGAGTGGCACGACACACTGAGGACTACACTTGCGGCTCTTGGGTTTGCTCCTTCTACTGCTGACCCGTCGCTGTTTCTGCGCACTGACACATCGCTGCCGCCGTTCTACATCCTCGTGTACGTCGGTCTTTGCCACTGCGGACACTACCGCACTCGCCCACGTGAAGTCCGAGCTGCAGGAGAGACACACGTGCACAGACCTGGGTGAACTGACAAGCTATCTTGGCTTGCGGATCACCCGGGACAGAGCACGCCGCACCATTACCCTGACTCAGTCACACATGGTGCAGGAGGTCCTTCAGCGCTTCGGCTTCACGTACTCCTCGCCTCAGTCCACTCCTCTGCCTACGGGACACTCACTCTCAGCTCTGCCTTCGGATGAGTCCGTAGAGTCGAGTGGTCCGTATCCAGAGCTTGTGGGCTGCCTCATGTACCTGATGACTTGCACTCGACCTGACCTCGCATACCCTCTCAGCATCTTAGCACGCTATGTTGCTCCCGGCCGTCACCGGAAGGAGCACATGGATGCAGCTAAGAGGGTGTTGCGCTACTTGTGCAGTACGTCGGGCATGGGGCTAGTGCTTGGAGGGCGTGAGCGGCCTGTGCTCACTGGGCACTCAGACGCTTCTTGGGCTGACGACCAGGCTACTCAGAGGTCGTCTCAGGGTTACACCTTCAGTCTTGGCTCTGGCTCTGTCTCTTGGCGTTCTACTCGCTCTTCTTCGGTTCTCAGCTCCAGCTGTGAGGCTGAGATCTACGCCACGGCCATGGCTGCCCAGGAGCTTCGCTGGCTCACCTACCTGCTGACTGACCTTGGAGAGCGGCCTCGTTCTCCTCCAGTGCTGTACGTCGACAACAAGGCAACCATTGCCTTGTGTGAGGAGCACAGACTGGAGCACAGGACGAAGCACATTGCTCTGCGCTACTTCCTTGCTCGAGAGCTGCAGCAGCGTGGTCAGCTTCGCCTGCGTTTCGTGGCCACTGAGGCCAACACTGCTGATGTGTTCACCAAGGCACTTCCGCCTCGTGACCATCAGCGCTTTTGCACTCTGCTAGGCCTTGTGCCCACTGGGCCTCACTTGCTTACCTCTTGACCTTGCTTGTACTGCTGCATATATATATCCTTGCTCTTGCTTGTTTAGCACTGTTATATATATATGCTCTGCTGCATGTGAACTGGCCTTGTGGCCTTGACCTTGTGCTCGGAATTTGTGTGGTATCCTTGAGATCCACCCTGAGCTTGCTTTGCTTTGCTTTGCTTTGCTTGACTGGTCTTGTGACCCCTTGCTCTCCCCCACTTTGCCTATGGGGGTGTGTCAGATGATTATATTACTGATGCATATATTTAGGCTGTAGTGGGGTAGCCCATAGGGGGTACAACCCAATTAGGGTTGGTACTTGTACTTGTTTCATTTTCATAGTGCACTCATTCCTCGCCTCTATCTCAACAGATACTACTCGCCCAGACCAGCCCGCTACTGACAGGTCTATTTACCCACGGATATCAAACAGACCCGTTCTTTACAGGAGGCAACTCACAGCAATTTGCAGCGGCAAAAGGAGTCTATTACGTAAAAGCTGGAACCGACCGCATCTGGGTACCAGGATACACGCTACTGCGGGAACTACTGTTACAGGAAGCACACGACGGAGTTACCTCGGGACATTTCGGGGTAGAAAAAACACGGCAGCAGCTGCAGCGGTACTACTACTGGCGAGAAATGTTGACCGATGTGCAACGACATGTGGCATCGTGCCCCACTTGCCAGCTCATGAAGTCAAGCAGGAAGCGGCCGGCGGGACAATTACAACCCATCCCGCCCCCAGAGCGTGCTTGGCAGCAGGTGACGATGGATTTCGTCACGGGGTTACCAGCTGGGGCGAGTGGGAATGACGCGATCCTGGTCGTCGTCGATCGACTAACGAAGATGGCTCATTTCGCAGCATGCAGGAAATCAATCACAGCCGAGGAAACCGCCCGACTCTTCATCACCACCGTCGTTCGACTGCACGGGATACCCGCATCGATCATCAGCGACAGGGACACGAAATTTACAAGCAACTTCTGGCGGAACCTGTGGCAGCAGTTCGGCACGCGCTTACAGTTCAGTTCATCCTATCACCCCGAAACCGACGGACAGACGGAACGGACAAATCAGACCATGGAGCAGCTGATTCGAGCCACGTGCCACGATCCGAATACGTGGGAACAGCAGCTGCCACTCATCGAGTTCGCATACAATAACGCACCATCAGCCACGACGCAACAGTCGCCGTTTTACTTGAATTACGGACAGGACCCAACAGTACCCATGACACCGAATCCCGACAACCCCGTCCCACGAGCACAACAGTTCGCCGAGATTCTACAAGCAGCACGGACCAGGGCAGCAGAAGCAATCAAAAAATCAAACATCATCGCTAAACGCAACGCCGATCGCCATCGCAGACCCGTTACTTATCAGCCCGACGACCTCGTTTTACTCGACGCTCAGAACCTCCGCCTGCCCATCACTCCAAAACTCCGCCCTCGATACTGTGGGTCATTTCGAATCAGTCACATGGTTACGCCAGTCACCGCGCACCTCCTCCTCCCTGCTGACTGGTACGTCAGCCCCTCGTTCCACGTCAGCTTACTTCGCCCTTACGTGCCATCCACCAGCCAACTCCCACGACATCGACCCACCAGCATGACACGACCACCAACCGAACCAGTCATCACCCCCGACAAGATCCTGAGCCACAGAGTTCGCGACCCTCGAGGAGCCCGAAAAGTGGAGTTTCTGATCCGCTGGAAAGATCGTACCCCCACAGAGGACAATTGGGTTCCCCTGGAGAAAGTTGAAAATCACCCCGTCATCACCGACTACCTGCGTAGCCGCAATTTCCGAGACATCCACGCGCTTTCATAAGGAGGACCTCCTTAGGAGGGGGGGTAGTGTAAGGAAATTCCCTTTTCCTTACTTCGCGTCCCTGCTCAACGCGTACATCACTATAGCACCTCAGTCAGCACCGTTACCACCCGCGACCATCGCATCATTCATCATCCCGCCCCTTTCGCACATCGCATCCCGACCTCACGGCTCGGCTGGTAACCCGCGCTCCGGGCCTACGCTTCGACACTTTCCAAACCTCAGTCTTAGGCTCGTCGCGCGACCATTACCGTTACCACTATAGTTTCGCTATATAATGTTCGCTCATGCCTTCGCTCAATTGTATTCTTGCCTCGATAGTGCAATTCTCGTTCGTTCACTCAATTGCACTCGTAACACTGGGTCTTCCCCTCCCTGTGTCAGGCCTGGACAGAATGAAACTGAGTTAGCGTGGGAACACAACACACAATCGCACTGCAAGTTGGATTACATTGCAGGGAGGAATACTACTACCGGTACCATAGAGCTGTCTGCAGCATTACGGTAGATGTTTGCCTCTCAGTACTGAGAGCTCTTCGTGCACGTGCATATCTTTACTACAGAGATCTCGCACGAATGATGGTGCTGTCTGAGCGAAAGGGACATGAGCACGCAAAGGTACCTTGGCATACCCTATGGGACCACCACTTGGGAAAAATATAGACACCAAGCTACAAGCAAGGGAACTAAGATCAGCAGCAGCAATATTGAAAACGGTTTCATGATGCCAAATGGTGACATGCCTGCCACAAACGGAACGTGTTTCGTGCTGCCGCCCTTGGGAGGCAGCAGGAGTGCTGTTCAGAAGCAAGGTCAGCTCAGAGTTGACTAAGCAGCTGGTGGGAAGGCGCAGTGGAAGATGGTGGAGACACGAGACACAGCACAGTTCCGGAAAAACCACCTCATGCCAGGAGAGACACAACTGTGCGAGTCGTGAGCTTGGCTTCCCGCCTGTCAAATAGGGAGGGTTGAGGCAGGGCGGGCAGACAGTGCATGGAAGGGCAGGGAAGGCAAGGAAGATGAAGGGCCAAACGTGGCGGCACACACGCTGGAAAGGCACCCAGTTAAAAAGAATTGAGCCACTTTCACAGGCCCCTGCTCACAATGACACCGATGACAATATCGGCCTTGCCATTGCGAATTAAAGGCTGTTGGGATTCAAGGGAAAAAGGCTGTGTAGATGGATGATGATGGGGTGCCCATGCTCCTTGGCTTTGTGGATGGCACACCCTCTGCCCCCATCCACCTGCACGCGGGGCTTGTTGAGGGGGTTGTGAGTGGTGAGAATCTTGAGAGTCCTTGCTCAGAGGACCTTCGCTCATAGCCATGCCATAAGTCATGGGTTCATGGGCTGAAGGGGTCACGGGCTGAAGGGGTCACGGGCTGAAGGGGTCATGGACTGAAGGGGTCATGGGCTGAAGGGGACATAGGGCAATGATATGATGGGGTGATGAGATGATGGGGTGATGAGATGATGGGGTGATGCGATGATGGGGTGATGCGATGATGGGGTGATGCGATCATGGGGCGATACGCGTATGGAGCGCCAACAGCAGTAATGGTGCCAACTTCAAAGGAACGAAAAAGTTCCCGATGCACTCCAAGCAGCACGGATCCCCTTGGGTGGATGTGTGCTGCGCGAGCGGATGACAGGCAAGTCGTGGGTGAGCCACCACCCCATCCGCTGCCCCGTGACTAGGAACAATTACCAGGGTGCCGCTAAACCCACCGGGTAGGCGACAGGTGAGGCAGCAGTTAAGGAAAGCGCCTGTATGCCACCCACAGACCTGAATTCTTCGCGCTGCAACATCAACCGGACTACAGACTCGATCCAACTCTTTTCAGGCTGAGCGTTTCCCCTTCCCACTGCAACTGTCTAGAGTTTCCAGGCTAAGCCACTCAGCAGATTCGGCCAGCAGAGGTGCGGCAACGTGCTCCACGCCAAGGCCAACAGGCTGGCAGATGTTAGCCCTGTCGTGCATCCCCGCACAGCTGCACACCCGTGGCCCCACTGCCCTTGCGAAGCTGCTCTCGGTGCAGTCCACACGCCATGAGGCAGCTCCCCGGGCTGGTAACCTGCTGCCTGGCCTTGCCACACCCCACACACCCCTCACGTCCATCGCACCAATCACTCGCGGCAAGCATGGGCAGTGGCTCCTGCTGCAGCCAGCCTGCCCGCTGCACGTCCTGTCCCTACCTGACCCACCCACACTACCCCTCGTGCCCCTGCCTTGCCCGAAGATGGGGCATACGCGCCCAGGCTGGCACTCACACGTGACGGCATGCGAAGATGGCTGGGCAGTGCAAGCTGCTGCCCTCCAGCCACTTGCGCTGCCCGCTGAGTGACCCGGCCAAGGTGCCAGCCTGGCCTTACTGTGCTGGCCGCTGCTGGCCGCCCTACAGGCCGGCCCCATGTCCGTGATCTACACGTACAGGGACTTGCGTTGCCCACGAGGTGACAAACTTAAGACCTGGGCAAGAGCGGACAGCAGGCCCGTGAGGAAGTGCGGTGTCTGTAGCGTGAGCAGCTCGACGCCAGGCCCATTCCCCAGTTCATCCTCGCAACAAGGTGCCAAGCCGACACTCACACATGATGGCAGGGCTGGCCTGTGCTCCACGGTCGGGGCGGCCCTACAGCCCCACGTCCGTGATCTGCGCGTACCGCGACTTGCGCTGCCCTCCGGGTCCCTCTGCCTCCTCCTCCACGCCTGGCTCCTCCTGGCACAGTGGCGTGAAGAGGGGTGAGGTGAGGAGAAGGTGATGGAGTGTGGTGTTGGAGACGGAAGAGGGGATAGTGAGAGGCGCAAGGGAGAAGGTTGTGGGGGAGGGGTGGGAGAGAGGGTTAGGGGAGAAGCGTGGGGGAGACAGGTGGGAGGGAACTATGGGGGAAGTGGCGACACAAGACAGAGGAGAAAAATCCACCTCTTGCTTGTTAGACCTCACCCTTCTGAACCCTTGCCACCATGCTCCCCCTATCGCCTCTTAACCCTTCCATATGCCCTGTATCCCTCTACCTCCCCATCGCTCACCCTTAGGCGCGGCCAATCGCGCATGTCCTGCCCTGCGTAATCATCACCTACCCCATCACCCCTCAGTCCCCTAGTCCCCTCTTCCCCACCCACCCCCACTCACCCGTAGGCGCGGCCAGTCGCGCATGTCCTGTGCCAGCTTGCGCAGCACCATGCGGTCTGCGGGTACGCGGTCCTCACACACCTGGGGGGGAGGGGTGGGTTGGGGGGGGGCGGGGGGGGGAAACGTCTCAAAGCCAGCTTGCGCAGCACCATGCGGTCCGCAGGCACACACCTGCCGCACACCCATGGCATGGATGGGGGCCACGGAGGGGAGGGGGAGGGGAGAGGGGGAAAGGGCACGAAGCACGAGCGGTTAAGGTGGAGGACGACGCACTTGCGTGGCAAAGGATGGAGTGGAGAGGGCAGGGGTGAATGGGGGGCACGGAGGAGACGAGGGGGGGGAGAGGGGAAAGGGCACGAAGGTGTGCACGAGGGGTTAAGGGTGGAGGATGATGCGCGGTGTGCACACTTGCATGGCAAAGGATGGAGCGGAGCAGGCAGGGGTGGGGACTTGACGAGCAGAATACGAGCGTTGTGCATGCGTGCACCCCCCTCACACTCTCCTCACCAACCAGCCCCCACCCCCTCACCTCTCTCCGCCCTCTTCCCACACCCCGCCCCCACCACTTCTCTTCACCGCAGCCCCTCCTCGAAAGGCATCGGAGCGTAAAGCCCCACAGTTTCCTCAGTAACCAACCCCCGCCCCCAACACACTCCCCCACCTCTCCTCACCCCCGGCCCAACCTCTCCCCTTCCCCCCATCCCCCCCACACACCTCGCGGAAGGCATCAGCAATCTCGTCGCGCGAGCACCCGCTCTCGTTCTCGATGCCCATCTGCCGCCGCCGCTCCGCCTCGCGCGGGTCCTCGATCATCAGCACCAGCCGGATCTGCGGAGATTGGCGCGCAGTGAGGTGATTGGCGCGGAGATTGGCGCGCAGGGAAGTGAGTGAATTGGGTCCTCGATCATCAGCACCAGCCGGATCTGCTCATTGGCGCGTGACGCCAGCCGGTGCGCGGAAGGCGGAGAGATCGGTGAAATGTGAGCGCGCGAACGACGGACAATGAGGAGTGCGGACGGACGAGGAAGGAAGTTACGGCCATGGGCGGACAAACACGGACAATGACGGCGACACAATGTGAGTCGCGAGACTAGGCAACGCACCTCCTGCACCGTCATGTCGCGACGCTCCTTGAGCAACTCGATGGTCTGCCACGTCAGCACGCACACGCACACGCGGACGCACGCACGCACAGAGAGGAATGGATGGGCGAATCAGATGCAAGCATGGTGCAGCAGGTAGCGCTCGAGGCATGCAATGAACCGCACGGCTCAAAACGGCAAGCGCGACCCCAAGGTGAGACCGGAATGGCAAGACGCACGGGCAGCACGGAACGCGCCGGTTGGAGGCGAGAGCGGCTCGGCGGAGGGGTCCACTAAGGAGAGTTGGATTGAGGGCCCTACTAGGCAAGACCCGCACTCGCAACCCTAACCTCCGCCCATATCTGAGCTCGCAGCTGGCACTAATGTCGCGAATCTCGCGAATGTCGTGAACGGCCTAGGCGAGCGCGAATCACCTCGACGATGTCCTGAATGTCCCTCAGGTCCTGCGCCTCCTCCGCCTCCTCCGCCGACAGCTGCGCCTCCCCATCCTTCCCCTCCGCCGCCGCCGCCGCTGCCCGCACGGACCGCCTAGACGCGGGACCCGGTCGTCGCAATGAAACGCTTTGCTGCGATTGGTGGCGGCATCGGATGGCTAGTTCTCGCCTAGAAAAGAGAGCGACGACACGCGTCGGCCGGGATACGGCACGCCGTTGAGCGAGTGGCGGCGACGCGTGTGGGGTGTGTCGCACGGCGATGGACGTCGTCATTGGGGAGAGGACGATCTAACGGACTAAATCAAACCTCTGTGATCGATTGGAATCACGAGGTACTAGGATGAAGAAAAGAAATTGTGCATGGATAGGTAGGTGTAAGGAAAATTCCTTTTCCGTTACCACTCGCGACCCTCGCATCTACAATCCTCCCGCCACCTTCGCACGTCGCACCCCGACCTCACGGCTCGGCGGGTAACCCGCGCTCCGGGCCTCCGCTTCGACATTTTCCCCAACCTCAGTCCCAGGCCCGTCGCGCAACAACCACAGTCCATTACCGTTACCACTGTAGTTTTGCTATATATTCTTCGCTCATGCCTTCGCTCATTGTACTCTTGCTTCGATAGTGCAATTCTCGCTCGCTCACTCAATTGCTCTCGTAACGGTACGAATCCCTACGAGCTTCCCTCCCCCACTTCGTTACGAGACGAACTGCCGAGCTAGGTGACAAAATTTAGAAGAAAGAAGAAGGGTTGAACTAGCAGGAATGAGGATACAAATAGCAAACCCTAGAAGGGTTGTACTCGCTATAGAGCACCCCACTACAGGCTAGAACATAAGATAACATTCTGACACACCCCCATAGCCAAAGTGGGGTGTAATCAGCAGAGCAGTCAAAGCAGTACAAGCTCAGGGTGGATCAGAATGTCACCACACATTCTGAGCACAAGTTCAAGAAGCAATAGTTTAAAGTTCACAATTATGAGCAAAGCTAGTGGTAGTCACAACGGGCAAGTGAGGAGGAGGAGAGATAGTGAGGGGAGAGGAGATAGGAGGCGACGGTGACAAAAGTTAGAAGAAAGAAAGAGGAAAGAGGAATGAACTAGCAGAAATGGGGATACAAATAGCAAACCCTAGAAGGGTTGTACTCGCTATAGAGCACCCCACTACAGGCTAGAACATAAAAATAATATTCTGACACACCCCCATAGCCAAAGTGGGGTGTAATCAGCAGAGCAGGCAAAGCAAAACAAGCTCAGGGTGGATCACAATGTCACCACACATTCTGAGCACAAGTTCAAGAAGAGATAGTTTAGAGTTCACAATTATGAGCAGAGCTAGTGGTAGTCACAACGGGCAAGTGAGGAGGAGGAGAGAGAGTGAGGGGAGAGGAGATAGGAGGCGACGGCTTAAGCTGCAGGCACACGGGCAACAGGAGGCACACGGGCAACAGGAGGCACACTGGCACAGCGGCTACCGGACAGCGCCCGGGGCGGGGCCGCGACGTAGGGCAGGGCCGCTTCGAGGGGCGGGGCCGCGACGCAGGGCGGGGCCGCGACGTAGGGCGGGGCCGCGACGTAGGGCGGACGCCCGCGAAGGTAGGGCAGACGCCCGCCGCGCGCCTCGGGGCGCACAGCGGGCAAAGAACCGCCGCGCGCCCCGGGGCGCACGGCGGGCAGAAAACCGCCGCGCGCCTCGGGGCGCACGGCGGGAAGGAAAACCGCCGCGCGCCTCGGGGCGCACGGCGGGAAGGAAAGGTAGCAGCGGAAGCGAGGTGGAAACCCACCCACAGGATCGATCCAAGGGGATCGACCTGCTCTGATAGCATGACAAAAGTTAGAAGAAAGAAAGAGGAAAGAGGAATGAACTAGCAGAAATGGGGATACAAATAGCAAACCCTAGAAGGGTTGTACTCGCTATAGAGCACCCCACTGCAGGCTAGAACATAAGAATAATATTCTGACAGACGGCTGAAGCTGCAGACACACGGGCAACAGTAGGCAGACTGGCACAGCGGCTACCGGGCGAAGCCCCCGGAATACTGGAGTAACTGGCCCCGCGGCTAAAGTAGCGGCAGACGAGCAACGGACCCACGGGCGGCTGGCGTAGAAGTCTACGACTGGGCTACCGGGCGAAGCCCCCGGACTACAGGTGCTGCTGGCGACACGACGGCAACCTCCGTGCAACTTCCCAAAACAGTCCCACCCCCCCTGACACACACCCGCTGCTACACCGCTAGCTCCACTCCCACGCACCCCCTTTAAACCCTAAACCCCAGTCTCCTATCCACCCCCCTCAGCGACAGCTGCAGTAGTGGGAGACGAAGGAGGAGGAGGAGCAAAGGGAGGAATGAGGAAGTGCCACCCCCATACTCGCCACCCCCAAACCCTAACACAGACAGGGTGGGATGGCGGGTATGCAGGGTGGGATGGCGGCGCTCGCCCCCCTCCCCCAGGTAAATGGCCCCCGAGGGAGCCGCGACGGGCGACGGGAAATGGGGCCGGTGCGCAAGGAGGGCGGCGGGGCCACGTGTGTAGGGCGGCGGGGCCGCGAAGATGGGGCGGCGGGGCCGCGACAGAAAGGCGGCGGGGCCGCGAAGTGGGGCGGCGGGGCCGCGAACGTGGGGTAGCGGGGCCGCAAAGGAAGGCGGCGGGGCCGTGACGGTAGGCGGCGGGGCCGCGTAAGGTAGGGCGGCGGGACCGCGAAGGTAGGTGGCGGGGCCGCGTAAGGTAGGCGGCGGGGCCGCGACCGTAGGTGGCGGGGCCGCGAAGGTAGGCGGCGGGGCCGCGAAGGGTCCCCGTCGCCCGTCGCGGCGCCTCCAGAAGGCGACGCGGCGAACGACGGGGCAGAAGCCCGCCGCGCACCTCGAGGCGCACAGCGGGCACAGAACCGCCGCGCGCCTCGGGGCGCACGGCGGGCAGAAAACCGCCGCGCGCCTTGGGGCGCATGGCGGGCAGAAAACCGCCGCGCGCCTCGGGGCGCACGGCGGGAAGAAAAAATGGCAGCGGAAGCGAGGAGGTGGTAACCCACCCACAGGATCGATCCAAGGAGATCGACCTGCTCTGATAGCATGACAAAATTTAGAAGAAAGAAGAAGGGTTGAACTAGCAGGAATGAGGATACAAATAGCAAACCCTAGAAGGGTTGTACTCGCTATAGAGCACCCCACTACAGGCTAGAACATAAGATAACATTCTGACACTAGGAACTCGGGTATCAGGACGTGTCTCACTTCGGTTGGTCCGCGGGTCCTCCCCTTGCTGGTCCGCCGATGAAAATCATCATCCTGAAATGCCTTGAACTGGTCCGCCGGACCAGTGTGGACCAGCCTAGCGAACCACCTTCGGACTATGTTTTGTTCGGTCCGCAGATGCAATCTACAGTGGCCGTCTGGACGAGCGCAATTGTACAGTTTGCCCAAAACCGGGTTACCATTACGCGCAACTGCACAGTTAGGACGCGTCACAATTGCAACACCTATCCTGCGGGAGATCGATGTTTGGGGTGTACAGTAATTCGCTGTGGCTTGTTTCCCTTTTTCGTTAATGTTCGCTAGGACCCGACACAAGTCACCAAACGCGATGTCACTTTAAATTGATCTGTCACCACACTCAAATCATACATATTGCATTAACAACTTTGAAACACGCTTCTGACCCCGCAAACTATCAAACCTGAAGAAGATCGCGACACATCTGGCTCGAGGGAGATCGATTCTCACAGGTCGGTGTGTGACCGCGATCCTCCCTCGATGTCGCCATTGTGACGCGTCCTTAGGGTGACTGGCATTGAAAGGGCGGCGCGCGCTGCCAAGTTTTGCGACGGTAGAAAGTAGAGTTTGTGTAAGTGCTCGTCAAGAGTATGACTATTCACGGGTCGTAGGTGGACCGGTGTTACGGGTGGAATGGATCGAGGTAGCGAGGATTGCACTAAGGTGTCAAACGAGTACAAAATGTGAGCGAAGGCATGAGCGAACATTGTGAGAAGAAGCGAACAGGAATGAATGAACTAGCAGTGAAATGAGTACAAGTAGGAAACCCTAGAATTGTGTACCCCCTATAGGCTAACCCACTGTAGCCTACACAAGCAGAACATATATAATGTTTGACACACCCCCATAGGCAAAGTGGGGGAGAGCAAGGGGTCACAAGACCAGTCAAGCAAAGCAAAGCAAGCTCAGGGTGGATCACAAAGTCACCACACAGTCCGAGCACAAGAGCAGGGCCAGAGGCCAGTTCACATGCAGGAGTACAAACATATATATAAAACTAGACAAGCAAGAGCAGGTATATATATATGTCACAGTACAAGTGAAGTCAAGAGGAGAGCAAGTGAGGCAAGACAGGCACAAGACCCAGCTGGGTGCAAAAGCGCTGATGGTCACAAGGCGCGAGTGCCTTGGTGAACACATCAGCAGTGTTGGCCTCAGAGGCCACGTACGCAAGTCGCAACTGACCACGCTGCTGCAGCTCACGAGCAAGGAAGTAGCGGAGAGCAATGTGCTTCGTTCTGTGCTCCAAGCGCTGCTCTCGACACAAGGCCAGCATGGCCTTGTTGTCTACGTACAGCACTGGAGGAGAACGAGGTGGCTCTCCAAGGTCAGTCAGCAGGTAGGTGAGCCAGCGAAGCTCCTGTGCAGCCATGGCCCCGGCGTAGATCTCAGCCTCACAACTGGAGCCGAGAACCGAAGACGAGCGAGTAGACCGCCACGAGACAGAGCCGGAACCAAGGCTGAAGGTGTAACCCTGTGACGACCGCTGCGTAGCCTGGTCGTCAGCCCAAGAAGCGTCCGCGTGGCCGGTAAGGACCACTGGACTCCGCCCTCCAAGCACTAGCCCCATGCCCGACGTACTGCACAGGTAGCGCAATACCCTCTTCGCTGCAGCCATGTGCTCTGGTCTGTGTCTCCCAGGAGCAACATAGCGTGCAAGAATGCTCAGAGGGTATGCAAGGTCAGGTCGTGTGCAGGTCATCAGGTACATGAGGCAGCCAACAAGCTCTGCATACGGACCACTCGACTCTACGGACTCATCCGAAGGCAGAGCTGAGAGTGAGTGGCGAGTAGGCAGAGGAGTGGCCTGCGGCGAGGAGTACGTGAAGCCAAAGCGCTGAAGGACCTGCTGCACCATGTGTGACTGAGTCAAGGTAATGGTGCGGCGTGCTCTGTCCCGAGTGATCTGCAAGCCAAGGTAGCTGCGCAGTTCACCTGAGGGTTGCATATTTGTATCACTTTCTTTCCATAGTCATTCCATTCTCGTTCTAATTTCCTCATGGTA